GATGCAGATGGCCAAGCACACGGGGGACACCGCGGGCAAGATGATTGCTCACGCAGTGGCAATCAGGAGACATGCCTGGCTAAGATCTTCCGGCCTCTCTACATCATCGAGGCAGGTGATCGAGGATCTCCCGTTCGATGCCCTGGGACTCTTCAACGCTGGGACGGACGACAAACTAAAGTCTAACCACGAGTTCAAGACTTTGGCCTCCAAGTGCGGGATCGAGAACCAGGGTCAGGCACAGCGTACCAGATGGTACCAGTTCAAACGCAGACACACGGTCCCGTACCGTACCATTCAGTACCGGCATCCAACCCGTCCCTCGCAGTCCCCCCTGCAGACCCAGCCTCAACAACCCCAACAACAGAGGCGACAGCACCAGCAGCAGCGTTCGCGCTCTCGGCAGGCTTCAGGAGGTAACCAGGCCAGGCGTCGCGTTTGACGCGCTGGTGGACGATACCGTTTGCAGTTCCGTTATCGATGCGGCTCCCATGTCCCTCCCGATGCTACCCGCCCCCATCCTTCCATCCGGCTTGACACCGTTCGGAGACCGTCTGACGAACTTTCTCCCTGCATGGGAAAATATCACCTCAGATGCATGGGTTTTGAAGATTGTCGACGAAGGCTATGCATTGGAGTTCGAAGAGCTCCCACCAACGGGGCAAATTGTCGAAACCGAGCCATCCTCGGCAATCCTGACAGAGGTCAATACTCTGCTACTAAAGGGGGCAATTTCCCCTCTCCCGGACTCTCAAAACCATCGAGCCTTCTTCTCCAGGTACTTTACTGTCCCGAAGCCGGATGGCTCCCTTCGCCCCATCCTCGATCTCAGAGACTTAAACTCCTTCATCGAGCATCGAAGGTTTCGGATGGTGACGGTATCGTCCATCCTCCCCTTCCTCCGGTACGGGGACTTCTTCGCGTCCGTCGATCTCCGGGACGCCTATTTTCACCTGGCAATCAGGAAACATCACAGACGCTTCCTGGCCTTCAGGGTAGCGGGACAATCATACAATTTCAACGTACTTCCCTTCGGTCTCGTGACGGCACCGAGAACCTTCACAAAATGCATGTCGGTGGTCGCAGCAGCCCTCAGAAGGGAAAAGATTCGGATTTTCCCTTATTTAGACGACTGGTTGTTGGCAGCACGCTCGCCGGACCTTCTGCGGGCGCAGGTGGCAAGGACGCTTTCCCTCCTCGAAGACCTGGGCCTCCAGTTGAACGAGGAAAAATCCCAACTCGAGCCCACCACTTGCATAAAGTTCATCGGCGCCATGTTCGATTCTCTCTCCCAGACGGTCTTCCTTCCAGAGGAGAGATTCAGGGCACTTCGGGCCGAAACACTGAAGGTGCGTCGCTCCCGAGTGGTCTCGGCGAAGCAGGTGCAAGTCCTCCTCGGGCACATGGCCTCCACGGTGATGGTGACACCGCTCGCAAGGCTCCGCTTCCGTCCCCTGCAGAGGTGGTTCTTGGACCACTTCAACCCCATGCGGGACAACGCCACAAAGCGTCTGCTGGTACCGAAGCCGGTAAAGGACTCACTGGCCTGGTGGACGAGACGCGATCATGTCTGCAAAGGCATTCCCTTTCACCCAGATCCCCCGACCGTCACAATCACGACGGACGCCTCGATGTTCGCATGGGGATGCCATACAGGAGACCTCTCAGTTCACGACCTTTGGTCTCCGCAAGAAAGACAATGCCACATAAATTACCTAGAACTGCTAGCAGTATTCAAGGCCCTGAAATCATTTGCCCTCCTGGTGACCGGGAAGTCTGTCCAAATTCTCACGGACAACACGGTGGCGATGTTCTACGTGAACAAGCAGGGAGGAACGGGCTCGAGGAAACTCCTCACGCTATCGATGGAACTTTGGGATTGGTGTGTGGCCAGGTCGGTGTCGATATCGGCAGTGCACCTCCCGGGCGAGATCAACACCGAGGCCGACGCGCTCAGCAGAACCAGAGCGACATCCCACGAGTGGAGGCTGCACCCCGATGTCCTGGCGGATATCTTCGAGGAATGGGGGCTCCCAGTCGCAGATCTCTTCGCGTCGCCGCGAAACGCGCAACTCCCTCAGTTCGGTGCTCGACTTGCTCCGAACACGGTATCGGGGTATCTCGGAGACGCGTTCCTGTTAGACTGGTCGAGGCACCTGCTCTACCTCTTCCCACCGTTCCCGCTACTTCCGAGAGTGATCGAGCGGATCCAGTCGGCGCAGACGGACTGCATCCTGGTGGCACCGGAATGGCCACGACAACCGTGGTTTTCGGTCCTGCTCCAGCTGTCCCAGGGACGGATGAGGCGCCTTCCACTTCGACAGGACCTGCTCTCTCGAGAGGACGGTGAACTTCTCCACCCCGACATCGCTTCTCTGCATCTTTCGGCGTGGAGGATCCGGTGTTGAGGTCTCTGTGCCCAGGGGTCCTCCCGATCTTGGAGGCGGCGCACAAGCCGGCTACCAAGAAGTGCTACTCAGCTTGCCTTAACCGTTTTCAGGCCTTCCTCTCCGAGAAGGGCCTGGACGATCATCGACCGTCGATACCGGCGATCCTTTCCTTCTTGCTGCACCTTACGGAGCGAGGATTGTCGCTGTCTTCGCTCAAGTCGCACTTGGCCGCCATATCGTGGCAGCTTCAACGAACGGGGGAAGCCTCCCTCTTCAGGGACAGCTCTGTGAAATCTTTTTTAAGAGGTTTCAACAACTTGCATCCCCCGGTTCGGTCTCCGACTCCGGGGTGGGACCTGGACCTCGTACTGGCTAGGCTCGTGCAACCGCCTTTCGAGCCTTTGGTTTCAATTGACCTTCGGTTGTTGTCATGGAAGGTAGCCTTCCTAGTTGCCATCACCTCAGCCCGTCGGCCGTCGGAGTTGGCAGCATTACGGGTGGACGAACCCTATTTTGTTGTCCACGAGGACAGGGTAGTTCTCCGCACAGATGTGACATTTCTCCCCAAGGTCGTGTCCCCCTTCCATGTCAATGAAGACATTGTTCTTCCCTCCTTGTGTCAATCCCCCTCGACCCCGAGGGAAAAGAGACTTCATATGCTCGATGTGCGGAGAGCATTACTGTGTTATAGGGACAGAACTGCCCAGTCTAGGCGGTCGCATAGACTCTTTGTGGCATATGCTCCTGACAAAGTGGGCCTGCCGATCTCGGCGCAACGTTTGTCCCACTGGATTACCTCGGCCATCGAACTCTGCTATCAGCTGGCTCGACAACTACCACCCTCGGTCGTCCGGGCCCGGTCGACCAGGGCTATGGCGGCTTCGACAGCCTTCCTAAAGGGGATCCCCCTGGACGCTATTTGCAAGGCGGCCATTTGGAAAAATCCTCAGACATTTGTGACTCATTACAGGTTGAACACTAGGTTTACACCTGACATGGCCTTTGGGAGGGCGGTACTGGGCTCAGATCCGCCTTAGGTCCTGGGACGGAATGTGTGATACGTGCCGACATGTTCCTTTGTCGATACCGTGTATTATTGCGAATGTTCTTTGACATGTTTATTGCTTGAAAATTGTTTTTCTCGTTGGGGGAATAAAGTTGCACCTTTACACTTGATGCCTTACTACCTGTAGCACAGGCTGCCAATACTATGGTCTTAATGGGCCCATTACGGGTATTCTCTGTCATTATCGATGTTTTTTGCCTTACTAATGTGTTGTTCTCTTGCGGTAACTGTTGTAACACTGCTGCTGAATGTGCCCTCATTGTTATGAGTGTCCTCAATAATCACCATGTGCTTTATTTCAAGGGTCATAAGTTTACTCAATTGTTGGTCGCTTTTCAATGACCGGGAGGATCATGTACTCCCATAAGCTCATGCACTGTGCCCTTCCTTGGAAGTGATTGCATCCTCTTGTTATGTACTATGCCCTTCTTTGGAAGTGATTACGATCTCTTGTTCATGACTGTTTTTTTGCACTTAATAAAATTGTTTGGCCCTTGATTTCAATGGTCGGTTTGCTTACTTCCCGCCTCCGGGACCTGAGCTTGCTAGTCTCCACAAGTGTGCATTCGCAGAGACCACGAAGAAAAATGGTAGGTTACATACCTGTGACCATCTTTCTTCGAGTGGTGCTCTGCGAATTCACACTAACCCGCCCAGCCTCCCCTCTAAGCAAACCTCCAATTTCTCGCTACCGTGGCGGCGTAGGAATTGGAGCGGCGCGCGCGGGGCGCCCTTTTATCCCCTGCCGGGGCTGGGCGGGGTTACCGCCAAAACTTCAAAAGTTTCAAAAGTAGAAGCTTCCGTTGGAGCCCGCGCAGGCGCAGTCTCTCCACAAGTGTGAATTCGCAGAGCACCACTCGAAGAAAGATGGTCACAGGTATGTAACCTACCATTCTTTCCTTTCTGTTTGTCCCTTACTCCATCTTCATGCCATTTCCCACAATTAACACATTACAACAGAAAGCAACCTTTCTTTCTGCTCCATCTATTTTCATTTGTTCCTTCTTCTGTTTTTCCAGGTTCCACCCATCCCAGAGTTTACTGCCAATTACCCAACTCAATGTTGTCTTCTCTGCCTCTTTCATTCTCTCTCTCACACACACCCCCACGACATGACAGAAGGAATAATTGTCAGCCCTGTTATCTGAGAACCAGAATAGGCTACAGCAGACAAAATTACTAAAAATTAACCAAAGTAGGCCAGAATTGTCACACCCTCAGTCTCGAACAGGTATGGGTAAAATGTGTCCTTCCAAAAAGACTGTGTTTATGGTCTCTGACCATCTCTACCATAGATTTCCATAGGTCACCCTTTTCCTGACATAATGTAATCTTTTAATTGAGTTACAGTCTCCCCCTGCACTATTCAATATAGAATAAAAACCTTGGTCTTGTTTGGGAAATGGGCCTTTTTGACCTTCTGTGTGACTTTGGAGATTCCCAGAAGTAGAAATTTGGTAACCTTTGGCCCTCTGAACCAGTTCAGAAGTCTATGGATGGAAGATGGCTAACATGCTTTTTTAAAAAATAAATAAAAGTAGTACCCGGGGACGGAAGGTGATGTTTCCTTTCCCAACATGGTGAACTATTCCAGAGACACAAAGGGGACCAGCAAATCCAAGCAAATCTGCCAGGATCCGGAAGGTGCTGCTTAGAATCAAAGGTCTCCCAAAAGCATGGCAGAGGGCACACCAGATAGACTTGGATCCTTGTGGATATGGAGTGTCTGTATTCTGCACAAGATGTTTCAAATCAAGTGTTAATATAAATAATTCAATGGAAGAAATGCCACATCAAAAAGGAATTAAGAAGCATGTAACATTCATATGGATAAGCTACTAAGCCAGCACTATGCCAAAGAAGAAGAGAATTTCCTCTCCCCTCCCCTCTCCCCAGATATCCAAATATGATTTGTGTGGGAAACCATTGTGATAATAATTAACACAACCCAATTTTACTGTCAACAGACAGCATTGTCTTCAGGGTTACAATGTGAAAAACCTGATACAAAGGAGAAGAGGAAGGAAACAGGAAAATGAACACACTTCTTAAAGCTGTTTGTGTCTTGTAATAATCTTGTAATAATCCAATCTGAATAAAAATAGTTGATATGATAGGAGCCAAATGAAGCTGGTTCCTCAGCCCATCTGATAGAACTTGGTGTTCTTATCTGCCAATCTGCTGCAGCTAGGAGGAATGGCATCTATTCTCAGTATGGGCCTATTGCTAGAAATGCTAATCTTGTATGGAATTGTTTATCTTTTCTGTGATTTCTGCTGGCTGTAGTCTTCCATGACAACTGAACTGTAATCTCTTTTGGGTTTTAGTCTGAACCCAAAGGACTTAATTTGTTTTGGGGTTAGAAGTCTGCACCATGAACAGCTCCTTTACATTTCTTACAAAATGGAGTGGACTCACTACAAGGAGGTGAAAGTCACCAGGTGGTCCCCACTTAGACATGCTGTGACACATTTGCAGTTATCTTCCTCTGCCAGTAGCAACAAATAATATGGAGCAAAAAAGCATACATGCACAATGAGTAAATGGCTCCTAAAATGACCCTGGGAGAGGGAGAAACCATGTGATATGGACTACATCCTAACTTTTATCTGATCCAATATGTCACTAAAATTACATAAAGGACAGAACTATGTAGTAGTTCTGTTCCCCTTATCTGTGCGCCTTTCTCTGTAGAGACCGATTCAAACACCAGCCACTTTTGAAATCTGCAAGAGGCAACCTGACAAAGATTTGCTGCTCGAAGAAATACTTAGGAAGTGTCAGTGGCCACACGAGTGTTTTAGTGTCCATGATGGTAGGTTTTGCCCATCCACAAATACAAGGCTTCTATGGCAGAGGGAAGTGGGACCCTGCAGAAACATACTACTGGAGAAGTAAAGCAGGGCTGTGATTTTTTTAAAATACCAATATACCATTAATCCTTGCAGTTCTCAGGGCCCTCTCCAATGGTGTTCCCAGGAGGATCATTCTAGAGAAGTGTGGGTGGCAGTGCTAAGGTTGCAAATAGATGTGGTAATGAGGTAAAACTGCTCTCACCCCCTTCTTCCAGACAAGAGGAACTCAACTGAAAACAATCCAACTCTCAGTATAAAATTGACTTGCTTTGAATTATTTTATATTATTTTATTTTGAAGGAAAATTCTTAAAGAAAGAAACACACCCCCATGCAATCAATTTCTTCTAAAACCATACCTTTTGTGCTTTAAATGCTTCATTGAGGAGCATGTAATTTGTCAATGCTCTCATTGCAATAGGCAGCTTGCCTATGGCTTTCAAGTCTATGGGCTTCTTGTGGGCTGTTCTAATGAATGTATTCATCCACCAGTATGTTCCTTTGGACAGCAGATTCACAAAAGGTTGCAAGAACCTAACTCCAAGATCCTGAAGATCCTCAGGGGGCTTCACCTCTTTAGGCTTTTTGAAAAACATGTATCTCTACAATCCACAAAAAACAAAAGGAAGCACATTAACACAACATAATTTGAGTGATTACCTTTTCCAGGGTGGTTATAAAACCATGAATATTAAGAAGCACATTTAGAAGGGCTTCCAATACAATAGAAATTCCTCTTTGTACTACTGAAATGACCCAACATTCAATCTGAAGTTTGCTTTGTCTTAGTAGTTTCCATAGTTAAGAAACAAAAGTAATAAGACCTGCAAGTGATACTAAATAATACCAGTATTCATTTAGTCTGACTACAGAACATTCTGAGTTTGTTAAACACCACTTATAGGAATTTGATGCTATCTTTCTATACAGAGACCAAGGCAGTTTTAACTAGTTAAAATACTGGGTTGCAGACCAAAGAAATTAATTCTTTATTTTAACTTGTTCCCCAACCTCACTTTCTCGAGGTGCAAAAATCAGTAAGGTTTTTGCGAAGGATTATCTTTCCACATGACTCATATATCAGCACAGTCCCTGCCTATTCACAAACTGGTTTTTGACAGTAAGCTTGAGAAATAATGATGACAATAAAAATCAGTAACCACGAGCAGTATCTTTCTGCATTGACCTCAATTTAATACTATTTTCTTATACATATTAACTATTGTTGTGCTCATATGAAATGGGAGCAGAGTAAACTGGAATTGCATCTGTCGGTTTATCACTCAAAATGCATATACTGGTCTGGATTTCTATTTTTTAAAAATAGAGTGGGCCCTCCAGATCCATGGGCTTTGCATCCATGAAATTTTGCATAATGGGGGTTATACAACTGTATGTATAAAAAGGTTTCCAAGGTTCTGATCAAATTTGTTGTGTTGCTATTTGTGAAAGTAATAATATACACTTTATTTATATTTTGCCCTTCTCCCTTATGAAATTCAGAGCAGATTATAGCATTTACAGCAGACACAGGCAAATATTCAATGCCTCACAATCACATACAATGAGACATAAACACAGACAAAGGAAAAGGCTTCTCTTTTCATTTCTGGCTTCTGGATGCAGTGCTCATCTCTGGCTCTGGGGGAGGTGCTTTTTCTTCATTTTCAAGCTGAGGAGCCTGTGTTGGCACCTCCTGGTCATGTGGCTGGAAAGACTACTTGGAGCGTCTTTTTGCCTTCTCCTGCTGAAGCAGTACCTATTTATCTAGTCAAAGTTGCATGTTTTCGAACTGCTAGATTGGCAGGAGCTAGAGCTAACAGTGGGAGCTCACCCTGCCAACCTTCAGCACAAGGATTTAACCAATTGCACCACCACAGCTTATAGAAAGTAATATTACTTTCTATAGCCTCGATGCAGGATTTGATACAATTTATGTTAGGAAATAACAGAGGTATTAACAAGTGCCTACACTGTAATCAATAACAATGGTCTAAACTCAATGTAACAATAAGAAAGAAAAGCACTGTGCTAATAGAGTTCCAGTGATAACTTTTCCCATTTTTTAAAGTTAACTTTTGTTCTTAGGAATCCTAGGAAAGGACCCCTTTGCACATCTAAATGCAAACTCGATAGGATTTTGTTAGACCCAATGGATTACTTCTGAATAGACAACTATACATTTGTGCCACCAGTTTATATAATTTAGGCAGCCGGCATATACATACTTACCTTGGATTGTTTGACTGAAAATACTAGGACTTATTTTGAGTAAACATGTATAGGATTGTACGATGAGGCACACATTTAGATATTTCAATTTACATGTATATTTTCAAAGATTATTTCAAATGTAAGTTTCAAAGAAAGAATTGGCAGGAAATATAACTTACCCTTACTCTGATGACATTAATTTCTACTAGTAGCAACATTCCATAAAGAAGTACTAAAAGCCCTGTAAGGCAAAATCGAAGCTGTGGAGGTCCAATCTTGTTGTCACAAAACTTTACAAATTTTATTGTTTTCGTTATAAAAGCTAATGTCCAATAGAAAAGCAAGGCTGGTGGGAAAAAATAAAAAAATGTGAGCACTTAAAACATATATCAGCAATAGAGATAATAAATCAATTGATTGCCATACTGGGATTACTATAGGAAACTTCCACTAAAAACTTGGATGGTTGGGTATTATTTATTATATGAGTTTTTCTAAAGCAAATTATTGATAGTCTCTTTCTTAACCGTTTACAATAATATTTTGACACAACAGAGCAAATAGAATTTTTACTTAGTAGATTCTGTTCATTTCTAAATGCATCAACCTATGAATTTCATTGAAGCAGAAACAAAAGATACTATTTGTCAACCAGTCCAGCTCAGAGTAATTTGGAAAACTCCTATACCAGAAGGCATTCCTCAAACTAAGTGATAAATACAATTAAACAAAATTGAAACTCAATTGGCATGGTTTTAATTAATGAGCTATTGCCGTAGTTCATCGCATAAGCAAGTCCCTTTTGGGGAAGACAAAATTGGTATTTTGCCTTTCCCCGCATAAAAATCACACACTTTGTTCACTCTCCCAGGCTAGTGAATTAAGGGAGTAACTGCTCTTTTGGCGCTATGGGGCTTGACTAGGCTGCGAGCAGTCAAGTCCTGCAACACCAAGGAAAGGGGGCAGGCAGACAGAAAAGTGAGTTCACTGGCCCACCCGCTGTCCCCAGTATTTGTTTCAGCAATTGCATTTCTTAGGGCCCTTCCACACAGCCCTATATCCCAGAATATCAAGGCAGAAAATCCCACAATATCTGCTTTGAACTGGGTTATCTGAGTCCACACTCAGATAATGTGGGATTTTCTGCCTTTATATTCTGGGATACAAGGCTGGGTGGAAGGGCCCTTAGTCCAACTTGTCTATTCCTGCTGGTGTTACCTAACCTTTCAATTAGTATGTTTGGAAATGTATCACTTTACTTGTAAAACAAATTCCTGTAGTTTGTGGTTTTCATTGCATGTGCTTGGATGTACCACATATATGTAAAACACAGTCACAAGAGACTGCCTTATTAGCAGCTGCCCCTATCCCCCCAGCATGCTATTATATCCGAAGAGATTGAGATACCAAGGTTCATAATTTTATTTCCCACGAAATTCCTGCTAATAATAACCGTAGTGATAATAAGGCAAAAGAAAGGATTATGTGTGCCTTGCTGCTCTTTAGCTGGTAATATTACCAACACTTTTAAGCTGTATTTAATTTATGCACTGACCAGTCCAAGAGGCTCATGCAGACTTATGTGTTTATTTTCAAAAGGCAGGTGGGGATTTCTATTGCTTTATATCAGCTTGTTATAACTCTATGACAACAACTGTAATCTTAATTCTGTAGTCCCCAACAGTTTTAGAGAATGACAATCACAGGTGTAGATACACAATGAAGCAGACTCTTCTCTAAAGGTATTAACTAATGATTGAAGTTGTTACTGACTTATGGTGGTCCTAAGCCAAACTTATCATCAGAATTTCTGTGACATCCATCTAAGATCTCTGAGTGGGTTTCAATGGCTGAGTAAGGAATCCAGTCCTTGCCTCCAGAATTGTAATCCAACATTCAAACCATTACACCATGGTGGATTTCTATTTATTAGTGGAGGAATGTAAATAATGCTGCTGCCCAGGTCTTATTAGATTCTAGCTAACATCAGCTCTAGTTGGCACAGAAAGTGAAGAAGAATGCTGGTTGATGCAATCCCCTACTTCTCTCTATGGACACTTTCCATCAGTGTTGCTGTTTTTCATTGCAGAGTTTGGAAAATATGCTTTTTGTCCAACCCCCCCCCCCCACCACCTCTGCTTCAAGATTTATAACCTTCCTCTTTCTGCCTACTTGATAGTTGAAAATAACAGTCAAGAGCATTTTTTTGTTGTGTCAGGAGTGACTTGAGAAACTGCAAGTCGGTTCTGGTGTGAGAGAATTGGCCATCTGCAAGGACGTTGCCCAGGGGACGGCCGGATGTTTTGATGTTTTATCATCCTTGTGGGAGGCTTCTCACATGAGGAGCTGGAGCTGATAGAGGGAGCTTATCCGTGCTCTCCTCAGATTTGAACCTGTGACCTGCCGGTCTTCAGTCCTGCCAGCGCAGGGGTTTAACCCACTGCACCACCGGGGGCTCCATTTGTCAAGAGCATCGACAAATTGGAATATATTACACGAGAGTTCATCGAGTAACACATTTGCCAGTCTTTAAAAAGGCATGGGTAAACTTTGGCTCTCCAGGTGGTTTGGACTTCAACTTCCACAATACCCAACATCCTACTGGCTGTAAGGAATTGTGGGACTTGAAGTCCAAAATACCTGGAGACCCAAAGTTTGCCCATGTCTGCTTTAAGGTATCACAAAAGTTTGTTTTGCTGCAACAAACACAGCCATGCCAGTGGGATTTGTTCATTGTTCTTTGGCCCATTTTGATGAAGAATACTCAAGCTTATTTGCAACAGAAAAAGCAGATAAATGATCCTGTCTTTGATCAGAGGATTTGACTTGATAGTATGGCCCTTTTAATTATGTGATGGTATCAAGATTGCAACTGGCTCTGCAGCACAGTTGGGTTGGTAGATTCAACCAGCTTCATTCCCTGTTGAACAACCCACCATGAAAACAAAAAAGCCAACACTGAGCTTGTTTGCTTTGGTAGTGGGTTGCCTGGCAGGGAGTGAAGCTGGTTGAATCTACTGTATCCTATACAAAGGAACACAGCCATTGTAAGTGGTCCATTGGGTCATTTTCTGTCTGTTTGCTGTTCAAATTTACTGTGGCATTGAAATGAAAATCATATATCAGAAGATTAAATTAGGGTTTTTCAAGTGATATAAATAAAATGAGCACTGAATGGAGTCCTTGTGAGTTCTGCCTTATCACAGCAAGCCGGTCCCACATAATAGCTTCCTAGATTGAGCATTGTCCATGACACTATAATCTAGAAGGGTTTTTTTTTTTGCTGCTGCTGTTGTTATTACTGCCTTGCTACATATAAACATTTGCTTTGGGGAACAATTACACAGATTTTGATGTAGCAGCTGTTTGTGTACACTGACCTTCAGTGTCTTCAGAGCAAAATAATCAAGCAGAAGTCTAATTTAACATACTTGACACCCATTCATATGATATTGCTCATAGGCACATAAAGAGTCCAGAGTCTAGAATTTACATTAGCAGTGTTTAATAGATTGCTTTTTACTTAAGAAGATATTCATGTGCTCTTGGTACTGTCTGAAGTCCAATCATAAAAATAAATTATTTTACAAAGTACTCTAATTACACTGGTGATATGACATTATTTCACAATAAATCTTGTAATTTTCACACACACCAGACCATCCCTCTCAGTATTGCCATATACCTATTACTTATTCATATGAAAGATAAAAAATATAGGGACTGGCAGAGGATTTGTAAAGATTTGCTTTTGAACAGGCCAAAAGCTGCCTCTGTATCCTTGATTGGTCATTTGTTTCAAAAAGGTCCACTACTTGAATCTTTCCTTCTTGCTCCACATGGTATCTTCATCCCAGTTGCTTCTGGAACTCCCTGTCCTTGGAGAAGCTTCACTATCATTAACATAAAAAAGAAATTGGTGTTCCTCTGAATCTTTATTGGGATAGTCTTGCTTACTAGGTGCTTTTTTTTTTTGTCGTGTCAGGAGTGACTCCTGGTGTGAGAGAATTGGCCGTCTGCAAGGGCGTTGCCCAGGGGACGCCTGGATGATTTGATGTTTTTGTCATCCTTGTGGGAGGCTTCTCTCATGTCCCCACTTGAGGAGCTGGAGCTGATAGAGGGAGCTCATCCGCCTCTTCCCAGATTCGAACCTGCGACCTGTTGGTCTTCAGTCCTGCAAGCACAGGGGTTTAACCCACTGCGCCACTGGGGGCTCCTACTAGGTGCTGCAATGGCAAGATATAGAGCAGGGGTCATCAAACTAAAGCCCGGGGGCCAGATACAGCCCTCCAAGGTCATTTACCCGGCCCTCGCTCAGGATCAACCTAAGTCTGAAACGACTTGAAAGCACACAACAACAACAAACCAATCTCATCAGCCAAAAGCAGGCCCACACCTCCCCTTGAAATACTAATAAGTTTGTATTTGTTAAAGTTGTTCTTCATTTTAATTATTGTATTGTTTTTAAGTGTTTTTGCACTACAAAGAATATATGTGGCTCAATGGTGGCTCCCCGGCTTTGGAACTCCCTTCCACAGGAGATTAGAACTGCTCCCTCCCTCCTGACATTCAGGAAGCTAACAAAGACTTGGCTATGGAATGTGGCCTTTGATAACTGAGTCAACTTTGGTCCACATGGAAGGAGAATGAATAACTGTGAATTATGACCAGGAATGCTTTGACGACGTGGCTATATAAGTGTGATGATGACGATGTTGTATTGTAATATGTTTTTAATTGTGTAATGATGATGCATTGTGTGGTTTGTATTTTTGTATATGAACACATGTTGTGAACCGGATCTGAGTCCCTCTTGTAGGTGAGACGATCGGTATAGAAAACTTTTAAATAAATAAATAAATAAATAAATAAATAAATAAATATGTGCCGCGTGCATAGGAATTAATTTATGTGTTTTTTTCCCAAATTATAATCCGGCTCTCCAACAGTTTGAGGGACTGTGACCTGGCCCTCTGTTTAAAAAGTCTGAGGACCCCTGATGTAGAGGTAATTACTAGTTAGGAAGTTAACAGACAGTGCCACCCCATCCATTGGCTATAAGCAACAAGGCAGCAGAAGGATGTCCACTGGAGGCAGTTCAGCTTTGTGGGGCTCTTATCCATTTGCCATCCACAGAGATTGTATGGAGGGAGGGAGAGAGGGGAAAGAGAAATACCTGTTTCAGGAATCTACCCTAGTTGCCACGCTACACCATCTTCCCTGCATCTATATCAGCCTTTGGGAATCTACCCCTGTTTCCATATTCACAAAATCATCACCAACCACGATGGTGCTTGGACATTCAATATGATAATATCAGTTACAATAAAAAACTAATATGTGATG